TCTGGACTTTGGCCGACAAATTATAGTCGCCAAACCATAGTGCAATTGTTCGATTTTGATGAAATTTGGTCACAAGAAGCGTTGCCGTTTTGGTCCAATTGGTAGCTTCATTCTTCGTTGGTAGCTTGGTTCGTTTGATGAAGCTTTTGTGTGGCAAAAATGTTTTGAAAACACAACCAAATTCAACATTAAAATTTGTTCGCTTAATTTGCGTTTAGACGTTCAAAACACTGCTTTCACTTTCTTCACACGTATAAGATTGTTTCTATATTTTGCTAAGCAGACAATTTTCTGCAAACCAAAACTCGCTTCCCAAAGCTATGACCGATTAGCTTTTGAAATAGAACAAGAAGTTACCTATCGTCTTGAAAGTAAAATTGGTGATGTTCAATTTGAAAAGTGTGAGTGTGGTGGTAAAAGAGGGTGAGTGTATGCAAATTGAAACAAATTTGGAAATTGAAATAATTTGATATGAATTGAACAAATCTCAAAGGTATTTATATACATTTTTTACAAAAGTTGTTTATACAATAATATAATTCTTTTACTTAAAGGCCCGAATTTCTTTTGTTTAGCCTTAAAGATTGGTGTGAATTGATAACCAATACTGTAAACAATATTATGTGTAGTTTTAATTTTTACTGATAATTCGTGTAGCAAATTCAAGAAATCTTGTTTTAATGATGCAAAAAATGTTGGTAGTTTGGAAACCGATTTGGTATGCGTTTTGGTACCTAAAAATATTTTCAAGTGGCAACACTCGTCACAAGTTTTCTTTAAACCTATAATGAAGTTCCACCAACAGAAAAAAATTTCATAAAAAAATTGCAAAAGTTATGCGAAATTCAAAATGTCACTATTTATTCACTATTTTAGCCATAAAAAACATTTAAAGAGGATACTAGGGGCTACAAAAATATATTGAAAATAATCAAAAAATTTAAAATTTTTTAAAATCGAATAAGTCAAAAACTAATAATTTTTTGGGCAACATTTTTTTTGCATGGTACCTCTGTATGTTCTTAAAAAATTCTAAAATTTTCACGGAGGTGCTTTTTTTGAATTTTGGAGTTTTGGAAAAAATGCATTTTTTTCCTTTCGCAATCTTTTAATAAAATTTTAAAAAATTAATACTCAATTTTAGTATTTTGAGCAACAAGTATTAAGTGTAATGCGAATAAAGGGCAACAAAGTATAGTAACCCTCGGTAATAGCGGCAGATGAAAATCAGTGGTTGTTAAGATAACCGAGGTTATCGCGATTACCGAGCTTTTTTATAATAAAATTAGAGATAAAAACAACAAAAATATAGTCATCAATTTTATACACATTCATTCAGTTTATAAATTCGCTCTTCGTGCTACTCCATCAACAAATTTCAGCTAATACTGTGTCAGGAAATTTATATCCAGCAGGCTTCGCAAGCTGTGGAAACCGCTTGATTTTTTCGTCTGATTCGGTTAGTAACTGTTGCCTAAAAAGCTGCAGATAATGATGTAAGTAGGGAATTTTTAGCAACATGTGCAGTTGCTTCGTGTCATAAGGTTCTTTCCCGTACGCAACGTGGGATCCCGTGGGTGCCCAAAATAGTCCAGAAATCATTCCCGTACTCAACAAAATGGGTAATAAGAGCGAAAATTGGAACGTATTGGATCGTCAGTGTCTTCTTCTTCCTGTCCAAAACAACCCGGACTTTTTCTCCGGGTAAAAATGGATAAAGCGTCAATGTGCATATCAGCTGTTTTGTGTTTACATGGTGCTTTTACTTGGTGCTTTTAAGGAATAGTGAATGTATTTTCAATTTTTATATTCTTAAAATCAAATTTGTGAAACAAAAATTCAATTTCCAAGAGTTTGCATTTAAGTGACAAAAACAAAAACAACGCGAATAAGCTGTTTCTCAAATTCTGGGCACGAAATGTGGTTTTTTGCGTTCCCGTACTTCTGGATTATGTTCCATTTTTGAGAGCAAACTTTTCGCTTATTCTCTAATTACCGGATCTGGTCCGGATTTTTAGGGAAAGAACCTATTGTTAGTCTTTTCCAATAGCAGTCCAGTTTACAGGATTTAGTCAGAACTTACAGGAAGTCGTTCCTATTGACATAAAACCTGTAAGTGGGAACACTTTTGAGAAAGTTAACTGAGCAACTGTTCCTAGTCAGAAGTTACAGGATTTAGGGCCGGTTGCTCAAAGCCTGATTGACACTAATCCCCGGTTAAATATCGTTATTGACGTTACCGGCACCGTGTTATATGAATGGAGTCGAAAACGTCGATAACGATGTTAACCGATGATTAGTCTCAACCAGGATTTGAGCAACGGGCCCTTAGTCCGGAGATTTTTCCTGTGCGTTCATGAAAAGTGTCAAACTATCAGCTGATTTGCCTGTGCAAACAAAACCAGAAAGCGGTGTAAGCAAAGAACCTTATATTTGTAAAACATGGAAGTAAACGAAATATTTGAATATGTATAGATTTTAATAATTAGTTAGTGATATTTCAGCCAAATCAGTGTTGTACAAATGACATGTAAACAAACCGACTGACGTTTTTACAGGAAATAGTGCTTTTTGCGTTCCCGTGCCCTTCTGCATCTGTTCCCCTTTTACTCTCACCTGAGAGGGTAAAATTGTAGTTTGACAGTTCCACAGGTTTTAGTCCGCAGTTCAAAGGAACAGACTAAGGGCCGGTTACTCAATGTCAACGTCTTCGACTCGATAACAATGTTTCACCGGAGATTAGTGTTAACCAAACATTGAGTAACCGGCCCTAAGTTGTTGTTGAATAGTTCGTATGCAAAGCAATTGAAAAAATACGCTGAGAAAGCTTAACTTTGGCCGGCGATAGCATCTAAAAGTGAGCTATCTTTTCAAAACATTCTTAGGGCCGTTTGCTCAAAGCCTGGTTGACACTAATCTCCGATTAAACATCCTTATCGACGTTACCGACATNCAGATTTCAAGACGCTAGAAAATCGTGTTGATATTCAATAATTTTTTTATTGACGGTTGTAGGCATTTTCTCCCATACAAACGAAAGCCAAAATGTTAAATGACAAAATGTTAAAAATAAGGACCTGGGTATTATTATTGGAATTCTCCTGAAGAGAAACACACTTTCCGATCGAAAAATATTGATTTCCAAGAATTCTATACAATTTCTACGAAAAAGTGTTTTTCCCCCATATAAAATAGTGGAAACTTCATACATAAGCTTTGGGCAAAGCGAATTCATATAAGGAGGTAGCGGTAGTACAAAAACAAAAACTGCATTTGTGTTTTGTTTTCGGTACACAAATATAAAATTTCAGCTATTCTTTGCTTAAGCTTAGTATCCAGCTCTTAAGAAAACGGTCCAGAAAAAATTGCCATTATTTCGCGTGTGTGTCCAAGGAATTTTGACATTTTTTATACCTCACAGCCTGTTGCCTCACTCTTTCCTCAAGAAATNCAAACTTCGTACAAAAATTAAGAAAATTCAAAAAGTTTTATAATTTTTATTTAGAATTTTTAGAAAAATTTTGGTACCTCATTAAATTTAAATAGGTTAATGTTCAGATTTCAAGACGCTAGAAAATCGTGTTGATATTCAATAATTTTTTTATTGACGGTTGTAGGCATTTTCTCCCATACAAACGAAAGCCAAAATGTTAAATGACAAAATGTTAAAAATAAGGACCTGGGCATTATTATTGGAATTCTCCTGAAGAGAAACACACTTTCCGATCGAAAAATATTGATTTCCAAGAATTCTATACAATTTCTACGAAAAAGTGTTTTTCCCCCATATAAAATAGTGGAAACTTCATACATAAGCTTTGGGCAAAGCGAATTCATATAAGGAGGTAGCGGTAGTACAAAAACAAAAACTGCATTTGTGTTTTGTTTTCGGTACACAAATATAAAATTTCAGCTATTCTTTGCTTAAGGAGGAAGAGGGAAAGAAAATTCCAACACTTACTTTCGCACTCACTCATAAGTAGTTTTGACATGTGTGTACCGAGGCGAATTAAAGCAGCTGTTCTGGCAACACCACCTTATATGATTTTGCCTTGGCTTTGAGGCAGTTGTAAACACATATCTTCTTTTTTTTAAGAAAAAATATGGGTATTCTTCTCTTCCTTTTAGAAAAATCCTAGGGGATGAGAGCTTAAGATTTTTAACTTTTTGGACTTCCCTAATGTATATATATACATAAAACATGATACAGTTATTATATTGGTATTTTACTCTTGTTTTGCAGCAGGAACTTATTCAAANACCTTGGCTTTGAGGCAGTTGTAAATACATATCTTCTTTTTTTTTAAGAAAAAATATGGGTATTCTTCTCTTCCTTTTAGAAAAATCCTATGGGATGAGAGCTTAAGATTTTTAACTTTTTGGACTTCCCTAATGTATATATATACATAAAACATGATACCGTTATTATATTGGTATTTTACTCTTGTTTTGCAGCAGGAACTTATTCAAATATCGAAGAGCAGCCACATTGCACGCGACGACATTGACAATATGGAATATTTTAAGTGAAAACCCCCATCCAACAGGAAGGAACTAAGAGCAACGGTGCAGGAAGATTAAATATTCTTCCCAAAGTGCAATATTCTCACATACTCCTTAATTNAACTGCATTTGTGTTTTGTTTTCGGTACACAAATATAAAATTTCAGCTATTCTTTGCTTAAGGAGGAAGAGGGAAAGAAAATTCCAACACTTACTTTCGCACTCACTCATAAGTAGTTTTGACATGTGTGTACCGAGGCGAATTAAAGCAGCTGTTCTGGCAACACCACCTTATATGATTTTACCTTGGCTTTGAGGCAGTTGTAAATACATATCTTCTTTTTTTTTAAGAAAAAATATGGGTATTCTTCTCTTCCTTTTAGAAAAATCCTATGGGATGAGAGCTTAAGATTTTTAACTTTTTGGACTTCCCTAATGTATATATATACATAAAACATGATACCGTTATTATATTGGTATTTTACTCTTGTTTTGCAGCAGGAACTTATTCAAATATCGAAGAGCAGCCACATTGCACGCGACGACATTGACAATATGGAATATTTTAAGTGAAAACCCCCATCCAACAGGAAGGAACTAAGAGCAACGGTGCAGGAAGATTAAATATTCTTCCCAAAGTGCAATATTCTCACATACTCCTTAATTCACGCTGATTTCCTCTCTTGGCGTAAAGTGATCAAAGCAACAATATGCCATATTTTCCAAATACCAATAAAAGTCAGCATGTTAAAATGACAAGCAGCAACACGTCTTTAGACAACACCTCTGACCAAGATTATAGCGAATTTTTGAATGAATATCAGACTAGTTCGCCAAACAATGAACCAGAAACACAATACGAAGGTTTGTAGAAAATACACATTTTTTAAGTACCGATTATCAACTAAATATTAATTTATTCGAATAGAGGGCGAGTTAGAAGCTGAGTGGCTTGTAGCGGCAGGTTTTCCACAACTCACGAAACCATTCGAACAGGTATGTATGTACATATACACTACATATTATAAACAAACAAAGGTATTGTTTAGAGATATTATAAATGCAAAAGTATAAAATACTAGATGTTTTGAGTAATAGCCCCATCCAATTTCTGAAGAAAATTGGAAGAAGCGTAGGGCTTAAGGACATTAATCAAGAAAAACGAAAAATGGTTGTGATCGGCTTATTTTTTGAAGCATACCTCCCATACAAGCCTAGCCTTAAAAATTTCATTCAAAGTGCACCGATGAATGTAGGACTCCGAAATTTCGTTCATATATTTTCAATAATAGTGTAATTTAACGCTATTATTCATTCCCCTAGCTGTTTTTTGAACCGTAACCAAATATCGTTTTTTTTTAAACGTAGTGAACTATAATAAATTTCGATATCAAATGAAACGTAAAATACAATATCTACGATGCATGTAACCTGCCTGTGTATCGGTGTGTAGCAGGACAACGTCTGCCCGGTCCTACTAGTAATAATAGCTGTATTTTTTTGTAAGCAAGCGACAAAAGAACGCTCAACTCGGGTAAAATTTCCTTTTAGCTACTTAAGCAACCCTGTTGGTAGCTGACAAGAAAATGTGATTAGTTTAACGGGATTTAGATACAAAAACCAATTTAAATGCGTAAATATGCGAGGTATTTGCGTAATATATATACTCTATACAAAAATTTCCCTCTCCACTTTCCCATTAACAATTCACAATAGAGCAGTTTTTTAACTTACGAATACTAGCCTTCAGGTCGAGTATTTTTTAACCGACCTGGCTGAGCTCGGATANCGTAAATATGCGAGGTATTTGCGTAATATATATACTCTATACAAAAATTTCCCTCTCCACTTTCCCATTAACAATTCACAATAGAGCAGTTTTTTAACTTACGAATACTAGCCTTCAGGTCGAGTATTTTTTAACCGACCTGGCTGAGCTCGGATAAATAGCCGAGTTTGTGTTGTTGCTTTGCGTGTATTTCGTCATTTAAGCGAGTGTTCTTTTGTAGCTCGGTTACAAAAGAATGCACCTAATATAAGTATATACCCTTAAAATGGCTGTAATCGGTTTATTTTTACGCACTCCTCCCATACAAGCCTAAGCTCAAAAACCATTAAAAAGCTATATAAAGGTAAAGAAAAGTCCTAGTACTATTATACACACTGCATACTTGTGGGAGCTGAGTTATACCGAAAGGGAAATCAGAAACTCTATATGCATACATACATATATGTATTTATAAACTGGCAAATTGTTACAAGTAAAAATTTATTCAATTAAAATCCAGCAAAAACAGCCTGTCATTTTCGCTATCTCAATTTACCCTACTTTGCAAGTTTTTGCTTTGCTTTGCTTACTCTCAAAATTTGGTTACTGGATAGTTTCTTACTGGAAAATGTAAACACAGAGCTAACATTTCTGTTATGATTAATTTGCCTTGATGTATTGCATTTAAATGTAAATAATAATAAACATTATTGGTTTTATTAATGACTTTTTCACCTAGTCTATATGAACTACTGTCCAAGCTTTGTCTGTCAGAATTTTTTTGTTTATGTCTTATTTTAAACTATTATATATTTATATATATTAAGTATAAATTAAAAACTAACTACTAAGTTTTGTTACAGGGTCTCGAATTGCGTACTTCGCATTTGGAACCGATCCTTGCGACACTATCCACCCATCATGCCGAAGCCATCAAGCAACGCGTCCGAGCTTTGAATCACACAGTACGTGGACGGACAAAAAATAGACAAAAACGCAAGCCAGACATTAGAGATGTTTTTCGAGATTTTGATGTAAATAAAACTTTAAAGCTTGTTTATCCAACTCTACATTTTATGATTTAAAATTAAATATAGGAATCGAGTACTGGAACACGGTCCCGCAGTGCAACACCAGACTCACTCGACTCGATTCACGGCGATGAAGTTTGGGGAAATGCGTCCATGTAAGTTATGCCATCTGCTTAAAATTGCTATTTACCTTTTAAATGACAATTTGATATCAAAATCGTTAAAATACAAATATTTGTTTAATTATTTTATAAATCCAAAAAAAACAATGTTTTCTTCATTTATGTCTTTACGTAGACCCAGTTTTGTGAGCATTTTCGATCATGGCTCTGTTACGGACCCAGGAAATGGTCACCAGACTTTACAGTTGGGTAAGAATCAAAAACAACGACTTCGACGAACACCTAGCGCACCACTTAAAGGTTCACAAGATATTTTTCGGGGATCACATGTTCGTTGTGATATTCCAATGTTCGCTGCAGAAGGGATTGAATTATTGGGCTTTTCACGAATCGGCACCATTCATATCCCTCGCAACCGGTCAGGCTCTGATCCATCTTGCTCAGTAGGGTACGTAATTCTTTCAATTGTGGAATTCAGGAAATAACCAAATATTCCAATATAGACGTGTACACGGCGAACTTATTCAATATGCGAACAGTGACAACAATGCTTCAGGAGAATCGAGTGATGAAAGTCTCTCTAATGCAGCACGTCTGTCAAGCGCATCTTCCTCAGAAAGCACTCCACAAAAGATAATAAATAAAATTAATTTAGAAACACCGCCACAAAGTGTACAAAACTCGCCTTCGTCAAAGGATGGTATCAGTTTTGAAAGTATGTGCCGTGAGACCTCTAGTCAAGATGGAGTGGTAAGTCGTCCATGCAAAATAGCTGTCATGCATGATATTTCATTTAGTTTTCGGCAATACAACAAAGAAGGCGTTACTTTATGACATTTAGGGCTGTTTCACCATGTCCATTTAACATTAATAAGGACTATTTTCACTATCTCTTTTTAACACTAATCCCCAGGTAAACATCGTTGCCGACGTTCCTGACTCCATTCACTTAACATTGTGCCGGTTACGTCGGTAACAATGTTTAAGTGGGTTAGGGCCTGTTGCTCAATGCCTGGTTATCACTACTTCCCGGTTAAACATCATTTTAGACGTTACACGCTTACACGCAAATATCCCAGTTATGCATACTTGCACTGCTATACCATTTTTACGTAAAAATCAAAACCCAACAGAATTCTACATGTTAAGTGCTATGCGTTGGGTAACCGCTTACACGCAAAGCCCATTTAACAGATCCTTATGTGACAACTCTCATGCAACGCTAAGTATGCATAACTGGGCTAAAAGGCCATTTAACAGATTCTTATGTGACAACTCTCAAGCAATGCCAAATATGCATAACTGGGTAAAAGCCCATTTAACAGATTCTTATGTGACAACTCTCAAG